TTAAATTTAAATTCAAGTTTTTTAAATATATCTATTTTATTATATTGATAGATTCATAATAGATTCTCAAGACACGTGCTTGATTCATAGTGCAATTGCACACATTATTTTTCAAAACAAAAAATATTTTAACATTAGAAAAAAATAATGTCAATACAATATCAGGTGCATCGAATATCGTTGAAGGCTGCGGAAGAGTTTGTATTATTTTACCAAATAATACAAAATTGTATATATTAACGATACACTTTATTCTAACAAATTTAGAAGAAATTTGCTTAATTTTAAAGACATCCGCTGCAATGGATTGACGATGCAAGAAAATAATATTGAATATCTTTGATAATTTCTGTTGCATCTGATCAGAAGCAAATAAAAGAAAAATTTCATACATTCCCATCTGGCATGTATTATATATTATAAAAATTGTTGAATCAAATAATGTCACGAATCAGAAGTTCGTTGACCCAAAAAAGTTTTATACTTTCGTTGACCCAAAAAGGTTTTATACTTTGGCATTATGGACTTGGACATTCAGGAGCTAAAATAATGCGTCGAATAATAAATAATTCACATTGATATCTTTTAAAGAACTAAAAGATTCTTTTACCAAATAATTGTTCACGTGTAACTTGTTCGCAATGCAGATTAATCATTAGACATTCGACTACAAAGGTCAATGTTGAATTTTCAACTTTTTTTAAAAGAATCCATGGAAATATACGTGGCCAATACACCCACCATGTGGATCATTTGGTTATCTTATGATTTTAATTGATTTTTCTACTAAATTGTCACATGTTTACCTACTTTTCACTAAGAATGAGCATTTGCTAGACTACTTGCTCAAATTATAAAATTACGAGCGTAATTTTTCGATTATTCAATTAAGGCTATTCGCCTTGACAATGTTAGTAAATTTAGATCATAAGCATTTGATGATTATTGTATGTCAATTGGGATTGTAATTGAACATTCAGTTGCGCATGTCGATACACAAAATAGTTTGGCAGAATTGTTTATTAAACGTCTACAACTTATTGCTAGACCATCACTTATGAAAATAAAATTCCCAGCTTTTATTTGGGGTCATGTCATATTACATGCTGCATCATTGGTTCGTATTAGACCAATTGCCTATTATCAATATTCACCTTTGCAACTGACATTTGGTCATGAACATGATATTTCTCACCTACAAATTTTTTGTTGTACAATCTAAGTCCTTATTTCACCTCCATAACGTACTAAAATGGGCCATCCACGAAGACTTGTGATTTAAGTGGATTTTGATTCACTATCAATTATTAAGTATCTTGAACCTTTAACGGGTGATTTATTTATTGCACATTTTGTCATTTTGATTAAATGACTTTCTTAACTTTGGGAGGGGAAAAACTACATCCTGAAAAATAAGGTGAAATTTTTTGGAATAAAACAACTCTATCTCACTTTAATCTCCGCAGCAATCAAAGTGGGCAAGAGGTTAAAAAAATCATTCATTTGCAAAGAGTTGCAAATAATTACCTGATATATTTGTTGACACAATAAAAGTCACAAAGTTATATATTCCAACAGAAAATATTTCAACAAAAATTGAAGTCCCTGTAGGACAATCTGCTGTGGCAAATGAATCTCAAATACGCTAGAAGTGTGATCCAGTTGATTTAAAAGACTCTGTACCTCGAAAAAGAAAGGAGCATGAGAAAAACCATCCAAAAGTTTCAGAAGAAGTAACATTAGAAAAGATTGATCAATCAAATATTGAAAATATGGTTCTCGAAGAAAACCACAAGTATCCGAAAATAATGATATTTTAATAAATCGTATGTTATCTCATAAATTATGATAACGAAATAATGTTGTTATAGACAATATTTTCGCTTTTAATGTGGCTCTTAATATTTTGCAAAATGAGGATCTTGAACCACAGTCAGTTAAAGACTGTTAAAATAGAAATGATTGGTCAAAATGGAAAGAAGTCATACAGGGGAAAATGAATTCCTTAGAGAAAATAAAAGTGTTTGTACCTGTAGTTCAAACACCTGAAAATGTAATCCCTGTTGGATAGGATTTTTGTACGAAAGAAAAATAAAAATAATGAAATTACAAGATACAAAGTCCGATTAGTAGCTCAAGATTTCTCACAAAGATCAGGAATAGATTAAGAGAAAACATATTCTTCCGTAAATGGACACCATCACTTTTAGATTCTTAATTAGTTTGACTGTGTCACAAAAACTTGATATGCGTCTTATGAATGTAATAACTGCATATTTGTATAGTTCACTTGATAGTGACATATATATGAAAGTTCCTGAAGGACTTAAAATGCCGGGAACAAACGATACATGCCTGAGAATTATGTTCTCAATTAAATTACAAAGATCATTATATGGTTTAAAACAATCCAAACGTATGTGGTATAAATCATGTATTTTCATAAAGAAAAAAGATATTGGATTTGCAATTGTGACAATTTATATTGATGATTAAATTTAATTGAAACTTCTGAAAAGCTCAATAAAACTGCTGATTATTTGAAAAATGAATTTGAGATGAAGGATTTGTGGAAAAATCAAATTTTGTCTCAGATTGCAAATTGAACATTTCGCAGAGGAATTATTTGTTCACCAATCTATGTATACAGACTAAGTTTAAAACGCTTTTATATGAATAATGTACATCCATTGGCATCACCTATAGTTGTTCGATCACTTGATGTGAAAAATGATCCATTTCATTCACTTGAGGATGGAGAAAAAGTTCTTTGTCCTGAAGTACCATACCTTAGTGCAATTGAAGTATTAACTTATTTTGCAAATTGCACTCGACTCGACATAGCTTTTTTTATAAATCTCTTTACAAGATATAATTTTACACCAACTCAAAGACATTGAAATGATGTTAAACATATTTTTTGTTACCTAAAAGGTACTATTGATTTAGGATTATTTATTCTCAAAAGTCGAGATCTACTTTAGTGGGATATGAAGATGTAGATTATCTATCCGACCTACATACTTGGAGATCTATGAGGCAATTCTTGACAGCAACATTCTCAAATCATTATGAAATTATTACAATCCATGAAGCATGTCGAGAACGTGTATGGTTGAGAAACATGACCCCATCATATACAAGTATCATACGGGTTAATTTCAACAAATGATAGTCCAACAATTCTGTATAAAGACAATGCAGCTTGTATTGCACAACTTAGAGGAATCTATATCAAAGGTAACAGGACAAAACATATTTCTCCAAAATTCTTTCATACACATAAGCTTTAAAAGAATGGCGACAACGATATCTAACAAATTTGCTTAAGTGACAATGTGACCGATTTATTTACTAAGGCACTGCCAACATCTACATTCAAGAAATTAGTTCATGAGATTAGAATGCGTCAACTCAAAGATTTTCAGTAATTCACATTAGAGGGACTAGCTGTACTCTTTTTCCATCGCTTAGGTTTTATCCCACTGAAATTTCCTACCAAAATTTTAATGAGGCAACATTTGTTTTTAATACTCCAAAATAACTGTACTATTTTTCTTTTATTTTGATTTTTTTTCATTGGATCTTTATCAAGCAATGTTTTAACCAGGCATATATTTTGTAACATGTCATTGAAGGTGCCAACTGTTTGTGAATGGGAATGCCATGGAGAAAACAAATCAAAAGGTAGCCACATGAGGTTTCAACGGCTAGCATTCTACTGACGTCATCATTGGCGACAAGCCACTCGTCAGCGAAGGTAAACTCAGATTTAATTGGGGAGAGGTGGGGTCGACTCTTGACAACCCGATTATTGTGGGGTCAGGCCTACCATTGTTAGAGGATGACCAATGAAGGATGAGAATTAGGGAGCGATTGGCGAGTGCTACGGAGTGGTGTAGAGGAAAATTAGAAGATTGGTATTGTCGACCAGCCAGCCTTCGTTGCCGGGGTCGAGATCGATTAAGGATTCGCAAGCTATACAGTTGAGATCCGTCGTGTGTAAGCGACGAGAAGAAGGATCTAGGACATAGTGGTTGATCGGAATTGTGTGCAAGTTTGGCTAATATGAGAAAATAAAAATAAAAAAACTACATAAGCCGTAAACATGAACACTCGTTCAACTGTTGTTTCACAACTTTAATGATTTTTTATTTTGGAAAAAAAAAGAAAAAGTAATTTTTTTTTAAAAAATATGGGATTAAAATGTAAAAAAAAAAAATTAAACTTTACGTGCAAAATATTTTATTATAAAAATGTATGATTGAAAATGAGTTTAAGAAAAAAATAATTTTGTTTTAATGATTGTCAAACATGTACTTTTAGTAAGATAGTTGTGAAAAAATTAAATAGAAAAAGAAATATAATCTGTCTAAAAGGAATCAAAATTTTCAATCTAGGAATCATGTGAAGCACGTCATATTTCACTACATCAACCTACATTTTATTGACTTTGAAGAAACATAGGCTTTTCCCACATTAAGAAAGTATTACTGGACTTGTCGCTTGATGAGTTCTGATTACTTTTCCCTTCCACAATGAGAATTATCGTTGGATTCTAATTCTTATATTGGGGATGCCACTCTGATCAATCTTGTGTTGGTGTATCTAGATGATGTTAGGTTAGATTTAATATGCTACATTTAGCACATGTTTAGTTTGAAATAATATTTAAAATTAAAGTCAACAATTAATATTAATTACTCATTTCATGAGACTAACAATTTTTTAACTATATGTTTCGTTAATCTTACTAGAACTACTAAAAAATTGATGTTAATATATACCGAACAGGGCTTCGTCAATAGGGGAATCTAAAGACAACTAGATTTACAACTATTGAGACATAATATATTAGGTTGGGTTCTGCTTGCTATAATCTCAATACATCGAGGACCTCACCTGTAATTTTTCCGGATAAGAACGAAGATATTCCATATCGACTTGCAACATAATCCCGTAACCAAACACTCCCCAAAACCCCCCACCATATATATGCGAGGACCGTCCGCCCCCTTCCACACAATTCACCCGGTTAAACACGCAACGAGCACAGAACTTTTTCATCAGAGAAAAAAAATAGTAGTGAGGAAGAAAGCAAGAAAAAATGTCAGGAATATCACAGGATTGGGAGCCAGTGGTGATCCGCAAGAAGGCCCCTACAGCAGCCGCCCGCAAGGATGAAAAAGCCGTCAACGCCGCCCGTCGTGCTGGCGCTGAGATCGAAACTGTCCGGAAATGTAAGTTTTTTAGCATATTGTGCGCCATTGCATACTGTTTTTTTGGAGAAATATTACTTTATTGTTCTGTACGAGTTTTTTTATTCATTATCGGCTGGATGTGTATGTGTGTTCGAAGAAAATTGACTGAACTTTTTCGAAGGTTTTTCTTCATCGTATCTTTCAGTATATTCATCTGTCTATATTATGTACACATAAGATAATCGTATATGCTTTTAGTTTGTTCGGCTAAGTTGCGATTCTTTTCAATGATTAATGTTCTTTAATTCATTCCTTTGTGCGATTATTCAAGAAAATATTTGTTCTTCCACGGCTGATTATTATCTAACCTCTTTTCAGATCAACCGATTTAACCTCAGGTAAGTGTCTAATTGTAGAAAATAGTTTATTCGAGTTCTGGTCACTAATAGTTTCAATATATTGAGATTTGAGAATAGGGTTTCTCTACATGTACTTGGGGCCTAATAATTGCACTTTGTGACTAAAAAAATTCATATTGGATTGGAAAATTTTTTATTTCAATCTTGAAGCCCCTAATTCTAAGTCACAGAGTAACTCAAGAGTTTAACTTAGAGGATTAGTTTAAATGAAGGTCTTGTGAACATTGGGTTGCTGCAAACTGAAAATGTCTGTATTTTCTCTATTTCAAGGGGTTGTGGTTGTCTTTTTTTTTTTTTTTTTTAGGTCTAATTTTTTTTCTTCTATTACAAAAAACGTATCATTTTTTTCTGTTTTCGTTATTGAATCTTCTCTAATAACTAGAGCAGCTTATATCATGCATGGATATTCCTGTGGTAAATACGAAAACAAGAAGACTCTTGCTAGGAAGATGGATAACATCACTTTGCTGGATTGACAATCATGTTGATGTTGGTCCCCAGGGGGTGTTCTATGCAAAAATAAATGCCTGTTATGTTCTCATTTATATATTGAGAGCAGATTCAATGCAGTGTTGAACATGTTTTTAGGATCCTCCAGAAACCTTCAGCTTAATAATATCTATCAGGATAATGGCTAACATCTCTTTTTTGGGCTGTAAATTGTGTTTATGTCAGTCCAGTTTGTGTTCTGTGCAAAAAATAAAAAAGTAATACACACACACACATACTGTTCTCATCTGTATTTTATGAGACGAGTTGCTAGGTTTACTCTTTTGTCCTCCAAAAATCAAAATCCTTTTTTAAGTTGAGTTCTTTTTTTCCCTTATCTACTGTTTGTCTAGATATTTAAGGAAGTGTTGATGGCCTTTGTGTAGATCTTGCTTTGTTTGCTGCTTCTAACATTTAATGTCTTTCCTGCAGCTAATGCAGGGACAAACAAGGCTGCCTCAAGCAGCTCCACATTGAACACCAGGAAGCTTGATGAAGAGACTGAAAATTTGGCTCGTAAGTAGAAATCGTTTGTATTTTTTGGGAACCTTCATATGGTTTTTTTTATGAAATAATCATTTGCATTGTTGAGTCATGTGCATGCTCCTCCTTTGGGTAAGGTCGTACTCCCTCCTTTCCGTAATATTTATCAAGTCTTTTTTATTTTTATTTGGAAACATTTCGTATCCTTTATTTGTCAGATTTGAAGAGATGATGACAAAAATCAGTAAAAGTGAGAAACTATGAAAATTGCTTCCTTTATACAAGACTTCCTTTTTATGAGGTTGTGAGGAAACTGAAAATAATTTAGTTTCTCATTCTAGTTGAAGAACAATAGCAGACTTGCCAATATCTTCCGAAGCATCCTCCTCCTTTTGCCATCTATATCTTATGGACACGAGTTTAATTGGATATCCCCTCTCCCCTGTCCTGATTTGCAATTTATTTCTAAGAACACCCTCTCCGCTTTGTTTCTTAGCAACAAGGCAATTTGAATTATTTGGTCCTTCATTGGTTGAATTGAAGATTAATATATTCTTTTGAGTTTTGTCATACCTGCCTAAATTTCTCTCTTATCACCTAGGGAACCTTTTCATTTCCTTTCTTACCAACTGACTTGGGGTGGGGTACGTGGGCTGAGCGATTTCCATACAGAATTCTGATTAAAAGCATATAAATGCTTCAATTAATGCATGTTTCAAATACGTTGTCAAAATTCTGGAAACTGTTCTCTGAATGCATTGTTGAAAACATTATTAAGGGTCATTAATTAGCTACTCAGTTACTGTTTGATTGAAAGACTGAATTGTAGGATAATTTTCTGATATGCCAGAAAACATTTTCGTGTTTTCGGCCTTAGGTTTACCCTGATCCAATTTATTACCATTGGTTGATAATATACTAATCAAACTTGTGGCCTGTTGTATGCACTTGCTTCCTGGTCCAGTTGTTCTATGTTATTTTTACTTTTTAACGGATCTCGTGTATTCTATGTTGTCCGTTGTTTGTCATTTTGTGGTTTTGGTCCTAGGCAGCATGATTTCGTTGTGCAGGAGTACAGGCGAAGTTTTATGACTTGTGTCTATACAAGTAATTAGTAGTCAAAGTTCTAGGCAAATGCAGTTCGGTTAGTTTTGTTTAATTATTTCTTCATTGACCTGCCTTCACGTCCCATTATAATATTTTTCTTCGTCTCAGATGAAAAGGTGCCCAGTGAACTGAAGAAAGCCATCATGCAGGCTCGATTGGACAAGAAATTGACCCAGGCTCAGCTTGCTCAGGTCTGTTTTACCCGCCTGGTGGTTCAAACTTAACCTCTTAGTACATGAAATTCATTCTTGCTTGTAACCCTTGCCTTCAGATGATAAATGAGAAGCCCCAAATCATCCAGGAATATGAATCTGGAAAGGCAATTCCAAACCAGCAGCTTATTTCGAAACTGGAAAGGGCCCTTGGCGTGAAACTGCGAGGAAAGAAATAAAACAAGCAGCAAGTGGAGTTTAAAAAATTTGCTTGCAATGTTGTTTGGAGTCCTAAAAATGCGGTGGTGTTGTTTTCTTTTGTTTTTCAATTGATGTCGCATCTGCTGCTACTATGGATTATGGATTTGGCGTTTCTTGTGAATAGGGGATGTTTTTCTTGTGAAAATATGAGGATCACCCTCATCTCATTCTCCTTTAATGAAATAAATATGTCCTTGGAATATCCTTCGTTATTGCTATAATTCAAACTTTACATACTGTACATTAAAGTATCATTCAGATACAGCTAAAGCGAAAAATCTCTCAAATATATAAAAGCTAATAGGTTCCTGGATAAACAGTTATAAATTACTCTCGCATGCCAGTTTTGTTCCAAAACTGGTCAGGCAAATAGCAAATGCCTGAAAAGCCGACAAAGGTTGCATGAGTCCATTGTAAAGGTATCACCTCCTACCTTCCCAAACTGGAGAAGTACCGTTTCCTCATCACCTTTTCCACCCGGCCGACTTTGATCAATTGTTGCAACCAGTTGAAAGTTCTTGACTGATGCAGCTGTCACTCTACCGTGGAAATTCAAGCACCAACATTCGAAGTGTTCATTCCACCTTGGAGCTTTGTTCTTTAAAACTGTGTATCTGAGATTCAAGGACTCGGGTTCTTTCATTTTTAAATTAACTTGAGATTTGTCTGCTGCCATTTCTTCTGACATTCGGCACTTAAGTGAGCACGCCATCCTTCTCGGGCCTCTTGACTTCAAGAGGTTAAACTTATAGGACACATGCCCAATTTCAAAATTACCAGCTGGAACTTGGGGACTTATCTGTTTGCTTGCAAAACGACGGCCAGCTCTACTGCTTGATGGCTGTGCTCCACTATGTGGTGGTTGGCTATCATAGATTGAGAAACTAGTGCCAAGGAAATCCGACCTGTCAGCAGGGAAAAACACAATTTGCTGAACGTCTCAACAACAAAATGAAATAAAATTTCAACCCCAAAACTTTTTTGTCACCAAAATGTGGCAAAGTCGAGAGAAAAACCCGAAAATTATGAAACAATAATTATAAGGAAGTGCAACTGATGTATCTTGAAGAAATACATCTCCATCAGTTCCGTCCAACAGTCAACAGAGTAGAAATAAAAAAATCAACTAGAAATTTCATCCGAAGGACCACACATATTATAATCATCAGTCACATCTCAATCTTAATAAGAAAGCGCTTGTTCAGCAGGACTTTTGAAATGCCAAAAACTGCTGTTGGGACTAAGAAGCTGCTTTTGAGTTTGATTAATTTTCTAGAAGTGCTTTGCGAGTCTAATTAAAAGAACTTTTAGAGAGAGCATTTCTACAAGAAACAGAAGCTCTACCAAATGGGTCCAAGTACCATTCAAAAAACATGAAATCATAAGTTGTCCTCAACCCTTCGCTACAAGATCTAGCAAAAGCTTTGATAATTACAATAAAAGTAGGGTCAACCATGTTGGAGAAAAGAGAACGCAACATAATGGTTTCGCTTGCCACAAAAGTTACTTTTCAGTAACTAAATGGAAAATCTTACCTTAATTTTCCGACATAGGCATTACTTCCCTGTGATAGATCGTTAGCGTCGAGTGATATAATGTACTCAATGTGAGTACCATTCCTGTATCTTCGTGCTGCTAAGAGGAATTTCCCTTCGGCCATAAATACTGTCATAAATAGTGAAAGATATCAGAGCATAGATCATAAAATCATAAAATAGCCAAACAAGAGGAAAATTCTTGATAAACATAGAGGTATTAGGTAAAACAATTCTTGACTGTTCTTATCAATCTATGTTGTTGATAAGGAAAATTGCAATCATAGCCTATATGATCCCTACATTAATCTCAAAGCTATATAACAATTACTCAATTAGTATGTCTAGTTTTATAATCAATGTATAGACTGCTAAATTGTTATGGTTTAGAACAATCTAAATTTTTAATATTTATCAACATTTGATACCTTCTCGTTACTATATTTATCCTTTTGGGTGGGGGGTAGATCCCCAACAAAAACATATTGAAGACTTGCCAAATTTGGATTCTTATTTTCTATGTTGTCAAAGCCTGTGAAGACTGACCGGGAAATCGATTTGGTGCGTGTCCAGGGGCTTCCTAGGCCTAAGATACGGGCGAAATGCCTCGCCTTGACAGGTAAGCATGAGACTAAAAGGTGAACTGTGCAACTAGGTGTGCCTAGGCACTTCATTAATTTTTTCCCCTTTTTAAAAGCCTTATATTTAACTTTGGTTTATTAATTCTTTTTATATTTTTTTCCCTTCTTTTAAAAGCCTTTCATTTGACTTTAGTTTCAAGTTCTTAAATGCTTTTATCTGCACAAAAATTGAAAATGAATTTATCCAATAAAGAGATAAGATTTATGTTACGGAGTTATTACATCATGTAATTATGATTTTGAGACTTAAAGTTTTGTTAAAAACATCAAAAATATTTATGAATTTCCTATAAATCTATTAAGTAGGAATTGTCTATTAGAAAGTTGAAACAATGAAAACTAGTCTAACTTTTGCATTTCGAAAAATAGAAATTGAATAATTGTATGAATTATTAAGTAAATTTAGTATTTTACAATTTTCGATGTTTGATATGTATTATTTTAATTATTAAATGAGTTTTAGAATAATTAAAAGTTTAAAATAATATTAAAAATTAGAAAATGCTTTTTTACGCCTTGCCTGGGCTCTTAAAGTTTAAGTACTTGTTTGGTAAGAATTTTGTTAATTGATTTTTTGACCGTTAGAGATAACGTGGGTTCCACCTGTGAAAGAAGAATTCAAAAATGACGGCTGAAATAGTGAAATAATGGTCAAAAAAATTGATGTTAAATCAATTAAAATCTCTACCAAACATGCTCTAAAGCTTGACCTACATGTTTAGTCACACTTTATACTTTTTAGAACACTGCTTAAAACCATACTAATTAAAAACTAACAAACAGCAAATCGACTGACTCAAGACTAGGTTGCTTTTCGCTTAAAAAGAAAGAACTTTTAGAGCCTATTAACTAAAGGAGTAAAGGGCCAAAAGAGGCCGAGTGTTTCCTACCCATTGGCCAACACTTTTTATAGTTTGCTTTCTCAATTTTTCTCGCACTGAATTTCGCTGTGGGACTATAAAATGAGCAAATATCCAACTACCATCTCTTGTTCATTATTCACTACAAGAATACATTTGTTGCACATATATTATTTTCATGATTTATCATTTTGTGCTATTGTTATTTGAATTGTATTAAAAAATTCCCAAAATAAATAATTTCAAGCAAATAATTTCTTGAACGTGATTTTTTTTTTTTTTTTTTTTTTAACTACACACTAAAATGTTATAAAAAATATAAGCGATACTTGATATGCTGGAATTTTTGCTAATGTGTTGTCTCATTTTCTATTGATATTAGAAGTGACATGAAAAAAATTACTAGGTTTAGAAGACCGACCAAGGAATGGCGAGGTTATCAAAATTAAATAAATATACCACAACTTTGACATAAATGGGTTTAATTTTCTAAATTAATCTATATATATAAGCACTCATTAAACTTAGCAAAATTAAATTCACAATGACCATTTCTAGTATTGATAGAAAATGAGAAAACAAATATAAAGTTTCAGCCCCGTTTGATCCCCATTAAATTAAATTTCATTTTTCTTTCTCCTATTTTCAATCACGCAATCTTTCATAAAATAATATTACACGTAAATCGAAAATTTTTCTTTCTTTTTCAACCACTCATTTTCAAAAAAATTACTATTCCACCCATTTAAATTTGGAAAAATGGGGGCCAAACGGGTGCTGATTCAATTGACTTGCTTGAATATTTGTATAGCTTTTTAGTGTGCTATTAAAAAAGAGAGAAAGATAGAGGGAACTGAAATGAAAAAGGAAATTAAGTTTGCAATATCAATTATTTAGGGATTTAATTTTTGTATAGATATTTTTCATATAACAATTAACAATAGCACACAATGATAAGTGCAAAAATGATTTAAGTAATATATGTGTAAATTATTGATGAAGAAAATATGGTAGCTGGAATTTGGATTTTATGCTTATTATATGATCATGCATTGGAACTCAGTGCACAAAAATTGAGGAAGCAAACAATAAAAAGTGCAGGGCAATAGGGTAGGAAACTACACCTTTTTGGACCTTTTATTCCCATCCATTATAGGCCCTTGAACTCTAAAGTTTTTCCTTTATCTCTAAGAAAAACAATCCGCAAAACTAGTCCCACGTGACGCAACAGCATATATTTGACACCGAATAAGAAAGAAAAAGAGTGCAAAAGAAAAGAATTTATGATAAAGGAAATTATATTATTCATATAATTCAAGTGTTTCAATTACAATGAATAAGCTCTCTATTTATAGAGCAAATAATCCAAAAGAAGCTAAAAATAAACAAACTTCTACTAAACTAGAATTTTATCGAAATATTAGAACTTATCCAATCTAAACAATTATAATTAGAATTAATTCTATTTTAAACTATATCTCTATATGTATCTCCATCACCAAGTTAACCAGTTTGCTGTAGGGACGGGTCGATTGGCTAGTTTTTCATGATTTTTAATTAGAGCGATTTAAGTGAAAGCAGAACCAGTTTTCAGCCGATTTTGGGTTTTCTCCAATCTGATCAGTTTAGATTTGAGAACATATGTATATTAAGTGTGGTCTACATATTAATTAATTTAGCATATTAACTTATTTTTGTCAGTTTTCAGCGATATATTTATTTATTTATTTTTGATAATCTCTTTGACCTTTTGACAATAGGCCCTTTCTACTATTAGTTTATGCATGGACCAATTTTCAAATCATAGCTTGTTTCGGGAAAGAAATTAGAATTTATTTTGAAAAAAAAATAAAATCATGTAATTTATTTTATTTCGTTAGAGTTTCCTACTTGAATTAGGATAAGCTAAAAGCCCTCTTTAATTTTCTCTTCCCTCTCTCTTCAGCCCCTTCATCTATTCTCCTCCTATTCCTTCTTCATTTAAACCCTCTCGTCTTCTAGTACGTAATACTTTAAGAACCCAACATCATTTAGAATTAGAATCTCAATATATATATATATATATATATATAAGCCCTTTATAAAGAGGGTTAATATTCAATAGAAACCAGCTGAATAAACAAAATTTTCTCTCTAATTTTCTCCTCTCTCTCTCTCTTCAGCCCC